CATGCACATCACATGGGCAAGCACATGCTCCATACACACATGACATCACATGAGCAAGCACATACTCCATACACACATGACATCACATGGGCAAACACATGCTCCATACACACATGACATCACATGGACAATCACATACTCCATACACACATGCACATCACATGGGCAAGCACATGCTCCATACACACATGACATCACATGGGCAAGCACATACTCCATACACACATGACATCACATGGGCAAACACATGCTCCATACACACATGACATCACATGGACAAGCACATACTCCATACACACATGCACATCACATGGGCAAGCACATACTCCATACAGACATGCACCATAGCTCATAGACCATAGAAAAACAGTGGTTTGGCGAGATGGCTTAGTGGGTTAAAGTATTTGCTGGTTTGATCCCCAGGACACATGGTAGAAGGAGGTCCAGCTCTGACAGGTTGTCCTCTGACTGCCAGACAGACATACCTCGGCACCCGTGTCTCTTCCCATACAAAGAAATAAATGTAATTTTTAAAAATGAAAGAAAAACAAACTGATTTAGCCCACAGGTCATTGTTCCCTGGGCTGGAAGGTGAATTGTCTAGAAAGTGAATACTTTATTGTCTTGAGGTTTGAGTTACTAAAATATGGTGTCCTCATGTGGGTTTATCCAGCGATGTTCTGCTACCTCCCCAGAGGCCTAGGAAAAGGCAGTTGGCTGGAAGGATGGGGCCACATGGAGACCGGAGTACTTGTCAGCTCCCTGCTGTCAGCTCTAGACTGGCCAGAACCCCCAGACCTGCCTCTGGTGTTGATGGTCCTCATCTGTGTTTCAGAGAACAGCCAAGGTGGGAAGGAGGCCGGGAAGCAACAGCCTGTGGTGATTCTCTTGGGCTGGGGTGGCTGCAGGGACAAGAACCTGGCCAAGTATAGTGCCATCTACCACAAAAGGGTGAGTACTGCGGGCAAGTGCTGGCCCAGGGTGTGGGCCTCTGCTAGCCTGAGCTGCTTTGTGGGGGACTTTAAGCTTTGTTGCTTCACCTTTGTGCTGGAGCAAAGGTTGGCCACCTCTGTGGCAGCCCTGGAGCCAGAGCCGTGCAAAGATGGCTCTGCGGGAGACAGTGGGCTCTTGGGACTTTGGTTATGTGGGCAGAGGGTGTGAGGAATAAAGTGGGTGGGAGGTGGCAGGGATGACAGAGGTGCTGAGGGCAGGGACAGCCTCAGGGAAGGCTTGCCTCACTCTTGGCAATGAGAAGGTGGACGCGAAGAAAAAAAGCTTCTCAGTTGAAAACTCTATTTTTCTTAAAGTAACGCCAGCCTGTTCTACCATTTAGAGGCTGCCTCTGCTTATGCTGTAAGGAGTATGTGCATCTAGGTTTCTTCTATGTACCATTTGTCGAAAAAGATCTAGTAAGTTACTGTGTGCTGCCTGCTGTTTTTAGGCCATGAACCCACCTCGTCATGTTAGTAAGTTTTCATTGCGTATCGTGTATAGTCCATGTCCAGATACCCAAGTCACACGTCCCCAAAGCATCTTACATAGCTGATGTGTCCAATCCTGGAGTCCAGTCGGGGTCACACACTGAGGCTAATTCTTAAGTCCCTCAAGCCTCTCTATCCTTTCTTGAGATTTAAAGGCCTTACTTTTGGCTTACTGAGGAGACGGCCTGCTGCGGGGGTAGGGGAAAGGGTAACAGCCTCTCTCAGGTGTTAGCATTTGGGAGTGTGGGTGGCCTTCAGCAATCCCTTCCAGAGTATTCAGTGCTTCCGTGGCTGGAAGCTCAGGGGTCTCTGAGAGCTGTGCCCACAGGTCTCCCCTTGCTCCTGTCAGGTAGTGGCTTTGTCACTTGAGATACTTTTTTTTTTAACTTCTACCATAACCTTTTGAGGTGGGTATCATCTCAGTTATAGATGGGGGCACAGACAGAGAAAGAGGAAGTAAATTACTCTTTGCCAGACAGTTAATAAGTGGCAGGGCCAGGAATTAAGCCCAGACCTATCTGACCCCAGAGCCTGCCCAACTCAAATGCTCCTGACAGAGAGGCTCTTTGTCTCTAGAACAAATTAATAGGAGGGATTAAGACCCAGACAGGGTAGTATCTGCTGCCTTTTCTAACTGGCCTTCAAGGGGACCTGGCCAGAGGTATAAAGGTTCACTTGAGACAGGCAGTAAGGGGTATGGAAGTTGAAAGTGCTTGGGCCTAAATTTTAGGATTTAAGAACAATATTTTCTGTATTTTGAATTTCTTTCATTGTTTTGTTTCTGTCCTTGTCTGTTTATCTGTATCTCTCTCTCTTTCTGGTTTGGAATTTCAAGTTGAGTGTGAGGAGTGGTTCTAAGTCCAGGAGTCAAATATAATTAAGGATCAGACCCTCAAATTCAGACTGTGTGGATTCTGTTTTCAGGGCCCTGTGGCAGGGAAGGGAGACAGGACTGCGATGCAGAGCTGACTTACTAGCGCCCTCTGGTGGTCAAGTCTGGGACCTGCATATCATCTCTCGATCTCTTGGGATGCCTACTTGTGTCCAGGAAGTAAGAGCAAGGCACTGTAGCTGCAGCATGATGTACCCAAGCCCCAAGGCCTTAACTATGTAAGGTCTGGAGTGGTGTTAGCTAGGAGGACAGCCACAGAGAAAACTCCAAAACATGTTCTAAGCTCCAGGCTTCAAATACCATCCCAGGCTGAAGAGGCATGGACAGCATGAAGCCCAGGGTATTCAGAAACAGGCCTCGAGTCTACTTCCACTCCTAGGAGGCACCTATACCTGCAGCTGGCAAAGCTAGCTACAGCAGAACCTTGAGGGAATTAGAGTTACTGGGCTCCTTTGGCTAACCTGTGCTCTTGTCTATCCAGGGCTGCATTGTGATACGATACACAGCCCCCTGGCACATGGTCTTCTTCTCCGAGTCCTTGGGCATCCCCTCACTTCGTGTGATGGCCCAGAAGCTGCTTGAGCTCCTCTTTGACTATGAGATTGAGCGCGAGCCTCTGCTCTTCCATGTCTTCAGCAATGCCGGCGTCATGCTCTACCGCTACGTGCTGGAGCTCCTACAGACCCATCAGCGCTTCCGCCATTTGCATGTGGTGGGCACCATCTTTGACAGTGGTCCTGGTGATAGCAACCTGATAGGGGCCCTGAGGGCCCTGGCAACCATCCTGGAGCGCCGACCTGCTGTGCTGCGCCTGTTGCTCCTGGCAGCGTTTGCCCTGGTGGTGGTCCTGTTCCACTTCCTGCTTGCTCCATTCACTGCCCTCTTCCACACCCACTTCTACGACAGGCTGCAGGACTCAGGCTCCTGCTGGCCGGAGCTCTACCTCTACTCTAGAGCTGATAAAGTGGTCTCAGCCAGGGATGTGGAACGCATGGTAGAGGCACGCCTGGCTCACCAGGTGGTGGTGCGCGGAGTGGACTTTGTGTCATCTGCGCATGTCAGCCACCTCCGAGACTATCCTACTTACTATACAAGTCTGTGTGTTGACTTCATGCATAATTGTGTCCAGTGCTGAGGTCCTGCTCCAGAAATAAACGCCGACACCTCCCTTCAACCTCTATCTATCCTGGGGACTACTAGCATGGCTACTCCCTCCAATCCTGGGATTGGGAGTGTCAGGGCAGGTTTCTGTGTGGCAGCCTTACAGTTACTTGAACAAATGTGATAGGCTACTGAGTCCTACGGTGTTTGGTCTGTAAAGGGTTAGCACAGTGTGCGCGCTCGTGTTAGGTAGATGGCTCCAAGACCAGAGTTGTCTTCAAAAATAATGTGGGGTTGAAGAGAGAGCTCAGCTGGTAAAGTGCTGGCTGTACAATCATGAGTTCAATCCCAGAACTCACATTAAAAAAAGAAAAAAGCCAGGCATAGAGGCACACACTTAAAATCCCGGCTCTGGGGAGGCAGAGAAAGGCAGGTGCCTGGGGCTTACTGGCCAACTAACCTAGACTAATTAGTGAGTCCCAGGGCAGAGAGAAGACCTCTCTCAAAAAACAAAGTGAACAGTGCCTGAGGGGCAGCACCCTGGGTGGACCTCTGGCCTCCACACGCATTTGCACATTTGCCTGCACACGTACAAGCACACACCGAGAGACTGTGTTAAGAACCTTTAACATAGGTGCTCTTTTCATCACAAAATCCCGATGTTCAGTTCGTGACCCTGCTTGTTAACTGTAGGCGTATGGCACCTACGTATAGAGCTCCTGTAGCAGGTTTCTATTTCTTGGCTACTTTGCATATCCTAGAACTTAAAGATCTTGGATAACTGAAATGTTTTGTTTTGTTTCAAGATAAGATCTCTCAATGTAGTCTTTGCTACACTGAAACTTGCTGTGTAGATCAGGGTTCGGCAGGTAGTTTGAAATCTATGGGTGGGAGACTTCTAATATTCTTGGGGCAATAGATCCCCAACTCTCCAGAGGCCAGCTGTATCCTCAAGGCATCAACCTATGGGGTTCTCTGCTACTTTTCTGATTCCTTGGAGATGTGCTTACATCCCTAGCCATGGCCAACAGGTGGCAGTGTTGTCTGCGCCATGAGACTGCTTAAAGCTTGCTTTGGTGGGATGAATGTCCTGTTAAATGTGCCAGGTAAGACAGTATATTCACCCCCCCCCCACTCCCCAGGTAGGGTAAGCAGCTGTCAAGGGCCCGATGAGTCCAGGGCAGGGGAAAGGGAGAGACACGAGAAACATCTGGCTGCTCAGAACTGACCACTGAGGCAGATCACCTCTTCCCAGGCATCACAGGCCTGCTTCACTTTGCACTGGAAGCCAGGTAGTCAATTTCAAGCCCTACCTGCTCTGTGCTTAGGATATTCGGTGGCACCAAGCAGGGCATGAGGGCCATGAAGGGTCTCTTCTGGATTCCAAAAAGGTGGGCTTGCAAAGGGCAGCAGGACTGCCAGCTAGACTGGATTTCTGTGCGTTTGCAGGCATCTCAGACAGCAACCCCTTCAGTCTGAGCAATCATTTCCCTCGACAGCAACCCCTTCAGTCTGAGCAATCATTTCCCTCACATTTCTCTGGTGAGGGCTCGCCTGAACCCTCTGCCAGGAAGGCATCCAGTTATTACCCTGGCAGTGGGGAGCCGAGGTGCTAACAGTGCTCTATCTGCAGTCTTTGCAGGCTAACAACAGCCTTTTACTTGAAGGTCTGCTTTTAACCTGAGGACCTAGGCAAGACACCAGGCTACCCCGTGCCCTGAAACCCAGGTGATCTATGGCACATTTCAGGGGACAGAAAGGTAACAGAGACCCAGAGCTTGTTTGACTTGCCTATAGCTGCTTCTGCCCTAGGTTGGGGACTAGAACTTACATCCCCTCTGTACCCCAAGCTCTGACCTCTTTTGTGATTAATGAGCTGCCGATTCTACATCGATAAGGAATTAACCTAGAGCCCCTACCCATCAATAGCCAGGAGCCCAGATCCTCAGCGCTACCCCCACACCTGCTGGGATGCTCCTGTAGCCCCCACCCTACCCCAGGCTTCACACACTACAGTGTAATGCTGCACAAGATGACCCTCTTAACTGCCTCAGTCACCACCTTCCCATCAGACCTTCAAACACAGACAGCAGCTGGTTTATACTGTTTTAATCCATGTCAAATGTAGTTTACAAAGGGAAAGGACAAGTACCTTTGTATAGAATATACAGACACAGCATCACACCATAGGGCCCACAGGAGGGGCAGGGAGCCAGCACTCCCCTTGGGAGCAGCACATCTACCCCCAGGGGTTGTTCTCAACAACAGGCTGGGCAGCCAGACAGCTCAACTGCAGCCTCTGTTCCTGCTCGGTCCCGTTCCACCCTCCCCCCAGCCCCTCATGAGGAGCCCCATGAGCTAAGACTAAGGAGGGGATCAGATCCCTTGGGGCACATGCCCCATGTCCGGGAGAAGAAATATACACCACTGAACACCGAGCACATGGGAAAGGGAAGGGATGCCATGGGAGAGCAGAGGCAGGCACCCTAAGAGGTGGTTGGGCCGAGCTCCCAGCCAGCTCTGAAGGGGGCACTGCTTCCAGGAGTCATTAAAAAAAGAAGAAAATCATACAACCAAAGGGGCAGTGGTAGAGGGCAAGTGTCCCATTTATACACAACACTGTAAACATACACCGTCTATATTACATGTGCTTCAGTCTGGTGTCTGTGTGTCTGTCAGTCAGTCAGTCTAGAGGATGGATCTCAGGAGTCTTGCCCTGCTGCACTTCTCAACCTTCCCTGCCAACCCTGGAGACAGAGCCCAAAGAGGCGTGGTCCCCAAGCTCAGAAGGAACAAGCAGGCAGGGCTGTTCCACTCTGGCTCCAGAGTCTGCTATGTGTATTTGGGTGTGTATGTGCATGTATGTACACGGGGAACCTGTGTGTGAGTATGTACAAGGGGAAAGGGGGAGTCACTGTCACAGATGCTGGAGCAGGGGGTTGCTCGAGGCAAGGCCTGCCTGGCCAGCTAGCTCATAAGTAGATCCTCCGTAGGTCCCCAGGGGCTGTGATGGTATTGCACTGAGGGCAGAGCTTCTTGGCACCCTGAAGAGAGAAGAAAGGGGAGGGCTCAGAATGACATGCCCTGAGCTTGTACACATGAGTACTGGGCCTGCAGCCATTGTCTCTCCCTCAGTTTGTGCTGGGCCCTCATTCTTGTCAGCCAGGCCAGGGATGCATGGGCTGCCTCTGAGCAGGCAGACATGCTCCTGTGTCGGGGAGACGCCAGGATCAAACCGCCTGGCCAGCCCCACAGCAGGAGCCCTGGTAATGAGAACAAGGCTGGGTCCAGCTGTGGCTGCCTGGCCCTAACGAGATTACATGCGGCCTTTGATCAGGACACAGAGCCCACGTCCGGGCCTTTTATTGCTGTCTCCGGGCGACATTTTAATGGCTGCTCCCGAGCTAAGAACAGGGCAGGAGCAGAAGGAGCTTAGTAATGGGAGGGGGAGGGGCAGAGGCCCTAGTCTGGCTTACCCACTCACTACCAGCATCTTTCTGACCTGGGGTCTCACCAATACCCGTGATGCGTCAGGCCTACTTGGGGTGGGAAGGAGGGCACGTGCAGAGAGTGTGTGGAGGGGACAACTGAATAAACCCAAAAGGAGGGTGCAGACAACATATTCACAACTTGGGGTGAGTTCCTGACTTCAGGCTGTTCCTTGCCTCCCCCAAGCAGGTGCAATCACAAATGTGAACATCTGGACAGTGCCACTAACAGCTGCCCACCCACTCAGTTTCATGTCGCCTCACCAGAGTCCGCAGCCAACACTCTTCACAGTGCACATGCCAACACTGAATTGACGTCAGAGGCATCGAGTATGAGTCCTAGGGAGGAGGTGAGCACAGAAAGGGTCGCTGAAGTAGGCTCACCCTCTGAGGGTCCACATACAGACGAGACCCTTTCTAACCCCACAGGGCACTGACCAAGAGCATGCCTGGACCTACTCACCATGCAGATGAGGCATTTGTACCGGTCCCCCCGAGATAGCTGCCGTTCAAGCTCCCTGACCCGAGCCTTTAGAGCCTCAAATGTGGTTACAGCGGAATCTTCGGTGATTCTGTAAAGACGACGCACAGGGTAGGAAGGTGGTACTACACCTTCGATCCAGAATCCCAGAGAACCTCTCAAGATCTCCATAGTGGAGCTAGGCTCTGCCCCAGCATGTCACCCGGTCAGTTTCTAAGCCAGGTATTTGACAACAGTCAGCAACCTACTAGTCTTCAGTCACCCTCAGTTTTCAGTCTGCTGTCTCTTTCCAGGCTCTGCATCTCCACATCTGCTCTTAACACACACCACCATGTGGTGGCCTTTATGGATTTCTTTGGTTTTTTGTTTATTTGTCTTTAAAAAAAAAGTGGTCTCACTGGCCAGGTGGTGGCAGCACACGTCTTTAATGCCAGCACTTAGAAGACAGAGGCAGGCAAATCTCTATGAATTCGAGGCCAGCCTGGTCTACAGAGGAAGCTCCAGGACAACCAGGGCTCTGTTACACAGGAGAAACCCTGTCTTGAAAACAAACAACAAAATAAAAAACCCCACAAAAACAAACAAAACAAGAAAATCCACACATGGTCTCCCCAGTTATGGTGACACATGTCTTTAATCCCAGTACTTAGAAGGCATAAACAGACAGACAGATCTCTGTGAGTTTTAAGGTCAGTGTGGTCTACAAAAGGAGTCCCAGGACAGCCAAAGCTACATGGAGAGACCCTGTCTCAAAATAAACCAAACAAAAACCAGTCCCAAACAGCCCAGGCCAGCCTCAACTCCTCGTCTAGTCTATAGGGTAGTTCCAGGATAGCCAGGGCTATACAAAGAAACTATCTCGAAAAACAAACATAACAAAATTTAATTTTATGCACATAGGTGTTGTACCTGTGGAGGCCAGAAGAGGGCATTAGATCCCCCAGAACTGGAGTTACAGATGGTTGTGTGGGGCCATGTAGGTGCTGGGAACTGAACTGAACTCCAGTTCTCTGACAGAGCAGCCAATGTACTCCACACATTAGGCTCTCTGGCCCCTTTTTGTTTTTTAGATGAACATACAAAGTGTAAGATTTCATCATGGCATTTTAA